ACCTTTTTCTTTTTTCTGATCTTTCTGTTGCTATCTTCTCTTAATTTGGTTAGCAATATGCAAAGTTTTCAATAATCCTGCCTTCCTTAAGTTCAATGTTCACTAGATTTCTTTCTATCAGGGTATCGATGGAACCTCGGATTTTATCGAAGCTATGAAGATCAAGATGGTCTGGTCCCCGGTATGTTAACATTCTCCTTTCGATTTATAGAAGTGGGTTGACCTTGTCACAACTAGGTCTTGTTTTCAGGGGGACTTAGTAGAACGCACCTTGTCCGAAGTCCTCTGACATAGTAGTTATCATAATTCCCAGCATCAAACTGTGGACTTGGTAAATTCTCAGATGTTTTGCCAGCATCGTAGTCGGCATCATCAGTGAGTGCTGCCATTCTCCGCACCAAGCTACGAACTTGTAAAAAGACAAGTGAAGTAAACCCCCCGACCAAAGTTCTGCCGAAAATGGTTACAGTCACTCTTATTTCTTTCCTAGCCCATCTATTCACTCTTTCCCCTCTTATCAAACTCCCGTCCTATCACAACTTCTGACTTGTTTACATTCCACTCGTCAAAATGTGTGCACTTTTGAGGCACATCTAATGTGGCCTCACCATACCTGCTGGTCTTGCTTTATTCTTATTTTCCCTGAGTTTGCTTAAGCATTAGGCAAAGTTATCGCTAACTCTACCTTCCTCCAATCGCCTGTTAATTAGATTTTTCTTCCCAATGATGTTAATGACCTCCCTAATCCTCTGCTTCCTTATGTTTTCACCGTATGAGGCCCTATATTCTGTTGCCTTTCAATTGCTTTCATTTCCTGTCTGTGTGATGTGTTCCGCTAATTATGAAATTTCGATATCCATTTTCCTGCAGAGCCTTTGATATTCCTTGATTTGTATGCTAATTTTAATCTCTGTCGATAATATATTTCTGTTCGCAGACGCCGCATGATATACAGTAAAATCCTGAACAATTCAATTTATCTACCTTTCATGTTGCGTCGATAGACTTATGAAAAGTGTTGATTTTTCTTTCATGCCCACTGGAATATTCCATTTTCTCAATATTGGCCGTAGTTTTTGAGTTAGTTCGCAGGAAGGTAGGCCTCCGTCCTCATTGTCCTTTCATAGTCCCTGTTCTGCCATCTGCTCTTCCCGCCCCGTATACTTTTTGTATTACTTCGCTTGGTTAGCCTTTGCCGAGGAATATCCTAGTTAATTTTTCCAACTCGTAGTCTCATAATTCTACATGTGTTAGGCGTAGGCTTCGGATGAGAATGCTCCTCATTATTTCTATCTTTAGTCTGTAATTGCGATGAAACTGGAAATTGAATATTATCCCAGCATACGACTTCTTTCTGAACAATTTCTTTCTGAGCTTCTCATTGGAGCGAATCACTTCAATATCCAGGAGCGGTAACCACTCACCTACCTCTACTTCCATCGTGAATTTAATTTTTTGATTAATCTGGTCTATAAACATCAGAAAATCTTCCAGTTTTTCTGTTCCATGTGACTAAAGGGCAAAGTAATCATCCAGTTAACGCATGAGCAAACTTAAACAATTTATCGTCATACCGTTTTGCTATTAAACCATGTTGCGAAAACAAGGTCAAACAACTTCTTAGTAAGTTGATTCCGAATGTTAAAGGTAAATTAATGAAAGTTTAAACAACTCTATTTCGAATATATGGGATAAAAGCCTTCGAAATCTTTACTGATTTTCTTAGATCAATTCTTTGAGATTTTAAATATATCCATCTAATTATTTTTACTGTGGTTGCTAAACGTTCAGACAACTCATTCATAGTTTTTACCTTCTCGTAACATATATTTTGTAATTTCACCACCCCTGCTGTATTTCCCACTCTTTATTTACCAGCTTCTATCATCCGATCACTAATTTACCCTCATGGATGCCATTGCTGGGTCCTCCGCAATTTCTTCTAGATAGAATCTGTGATCCACTCTCCAACTTGATACCCTTGCTACTAGATACTGTTCTTCGTCTTCCACACGCTCTTCTATTTCGTGGTTGTATATCTTCTCAGCCACAGCTGCTACAAAAATCGCTATCTCCTAACGATACTCTGGAATTTGCAGCTACTAAGTTTACCAGGCGCGCCGCTTCAGCAGAATCTGGATCCTTTGGTCGTCTGCCTGCCGACATTGAGAGCCGCTGGTGCACCACTGTTTACAATCTACTCGAGTTGATGGCACCTATTCCGATTTCCACTTCTCCGCCCCTCTCATCTATTCGGATAGCTGGGTCTACTGGTACCAATTTGGAGAATAACTTTCGACGAACTTGCATAGAAATTTCTCCATCTATATCAGGACTCATGAGCAGTATGAAGAAGGTCATTCTAATTAGTGTTTCCTACTTATCCAAATTTATAATAAATAATGACACTGAGTTCAAATATTTGATTCTATCCATAATTGTATAGGCTCAATTCTAAAAAAAACTATTTTGGTCAATATGTTTACGTTACTTTTATTTTTACTTCTTTTTGTTTAGCTTCTTACCAGCATAGTTGGGGAGACACATTTCTACCAGCTTCGCGATATTCATCGTCTGGCCAGAACCATGCAACGCATTCGTTCTGTCTGCCAATCAGCCGAGATGTCACATATCCATAATGCAATCTCCAACAGGGCTTTAGATTGCTTTTCCTTTTCCAGCTCCACCATCAGCGAGAGTAGCAGTAGTGATGAGGACGATCTGCAATTAGTAGACCAGACTCTTTTGAGAGTTATCGATAAAGCTGAATATCTGGATTCTAATTCACTGTCGTCCAGCGCTGAGAAGCAACTCACTGAGTCACATTCAGAGCTAATGCAGAAGTGGCTTTCCGGTTTGCCATGCTGTTTTAGGGATGTCAGTCCTCTTCGGCTCCGACTTCCTTATCTTACTCGACGTGATCTGCTTTCATGGCTCTGGTCTGCTCACTTGATAATTGCTGGGCCCCGGAAACCAACTGCTTCTGCTCACCTGCCGGGTCGTGCTTTAATTACTTCTTGTCGTGGCATTGCTCATTGGCAACGTCTTTGCCTCCGTTGCCCAGATAATCTTGCATTTCTACTCCATTCTAGCCTTATTTTAGAACCCAATTTGGCTATTCATATGCTTCAGTTAGTCCATCTAGCTGTAAATTCTACGCCTGGCATTATTTCGGATATTATTAAGGTAGGTCTTTATATTTCAATCTCTCTCATTTACATCAACTTTTTTATTGTCATCTATATTTCTGCTTTTATTTATCCTTCTACAAATATCGTTGCATATATGTATATCTGTTTT